CACAAGATGGACTGGCTCTGTGGCCTGGACCCAGGGGCAGGTTAGGCCACAGCTCGGCCTGTCCCGAGGGCTTTGCCCTCGATCCTGAAGGCACTGGGGGCAGCTCCAACAGAGCCTGGGTGTTAGGAAAAGGCCGCTAAATTCTCATTTAGATCCTGGCCAGCTGCCAGCTCTGCCTCCACCCAGTCCCCTCCCAGGGCCTGAATGCTGGGTCTAGAACCCCTAGCTGGAGAGAGTAGATGCACCAGGGCTGCTGGTCTGGAGGAGACACGGCAGGGAGGGCCCCTCAGAGGAGGAGGCAGCAGAGAAACTCCGTACGGCGTCACGGGATATACGGCTGTGGGGTGAGGTTTGGCCCACCCACAACCTGCCCACTGATCTGCGTGGGGCTGCAGGCCCAGCTCCTGCCCTCTCTGGGCCTCACTCTCCTCACCCGCACAATGGGCACAATTACACTCCCAGCGTGCAAGGGATGCTCATGAATGGAGGGGGATCTGAAGCAATGAGAAGCAGATTTGGCCAAGAGGAGGAGGAGCTGCTCAGAGTCGGTGGGGAAGTACTGACTTGAGCCGCCTCAGCTATGGCCTCGGGCTGCTTTCTTGGAAGTACTCAGGGCAGTCAGGCAGGTGGGGGAGCTCTGAGATCAGAACCCTGGGCCAGGGACCAGTTGAGGTCCTCTCTGTAGTGCTCTGTGATGGCTGGCTGTCTGTGTCACAGGCTCCAGGTTTGTCCTCATCTCTGCCCTCAGGGAGCCCTGAGATGAGCTCAGTGCCCCATCTGCTGTCGTTAGAGCCGTGAGTCATCATCTTAACACCCCCGGTGAGCACTAGCGTCGCTTATCCAAATTGGGGCTCAGATGTTTTGAAGTGATTTCAATGACATGTCACACTTATTATAGCCGGAGTTTATTTAGTCATTCTTCTACTGGATGGTTAGGTTTACTAACCATTTGCTTGATTTACTTTTTTGCTACCCTAAACTAGCTGTAGTGAGCATTCTTCAACATACAGGTAAACCTGGGAGAGATACACGAATATTCTTATAGTAAAACTATTTGTAATAGCAAAAAACTGGAAACGACTCGATTAAACATCAACAGGAAATGCATAAATAAATTGTGTTCTATTGACACCATGGAATACTACACAGCTATGAGATGAAATGAACTAAACCACACACAGACAAAATATTAACTGAAAGAAGTCAGATACAGAGAGGACGTGCTATGGGATTCCCTTTATATATAAGCTCAAAAGCAAACAAAACTACCATTGAGGCATATATACACCTGTGTTACATACAGTTTTACAGAAAGCAAGGATTCCCACCTACTTGATTGACAAAATTTTTAAAAATTTAATTTTAAAAATTATCATACCATAAAATTGGCTTTGGAGGTTCTGTGAATGTTAACACACGTATAGATTCATGTAACCACCACCACATTCATGATACACGACTGTTCCATCACCTTACGGCATCCTCTTGTGCTGCCCCTTTCTAGTCATGCCCTCACACACAAATACGGTCAATTGATATTTTACAAAAGTCTGTCTATCCCTTTGCCAATACCACACTGTCTTGATAACTGTTTGTTGTTAGTGCCATCAAGTCGATTCCAACTCCTAGTGACCTAGTACGGCGGAGTAGAACTCTGCCCGGTCTTTTTGCGCCATCCTCTCACTTTCTGTGCTGTATCGGACAATAGTCCACTGCCATTCATAGGGTTTTCATGGCCAATCTTTTTGGAAGTGGGTGGCCAGGTCCTTCTTCCTAGTCTGTGTTAGTCTGGAAGCTCCATTGAAACCTGTCCACCACGGGTGACCCTGCTGGTATTTGAAATATGATGGCACAGCTTTCAGCATCACAGCAACAGGCAGCCGCCACAGTATAGCGACCAACAGACAGGTGGTGTGGTTCCTAGACCAGAAACAAACCCGGCCGTAGCAGTGAGTGCGCCCAATCTTAACCATTAGACTGCCAGGGCTGGCTTTGATTACTGTAGCTTTACAGCAATTCTTAAAATCCGAGTTAGTCCTCCAATTTTGTTCTTCCTTTTCAAAATTATTTTGACAATTCTAGTTCCTTTGTTTTTCCGCATACGTTTTAGAATCGATTAGTCTGTATCCACAGAAACACTCTGCTGGGATTTTGACTGGAATTACATTAAATCTGTAGATCAATTTGGGGACAACTGACACGTTAACTATATTGAATCTGTCAACCCATGAACATAGTGTCTCTTCATTTATTTAGGTCTTCTTTTATTTCTTTCATCAGCTTCTTATGGCTTTCAACATCCACAGATCCTGCACATGTTTTGTTGGATTTTTTGAGGAGCTACTGTAAAATAGTATTGTGTGTATGTGTGTTTCAAATTTTGGTTTTCTTTGTTCTATTGCTGGTGTTTCGAAATATGCTTGATTTTTGTGTGTTGAACTTGTATTCTGCTATGTTGCTAAACTCACTTATCAGTTCGAGTATCTTTTAACATAAATTCTGTGGATTTTTCTGCAGAGAACCATGTCATCTGAGAATCGGAGTGGTTTTATTTCTTCCTTCCCAATCTGCAAGCCGTTGATGTCTTTTTCTTGCTTCGCTGAACTGGCTAGGACTTCCAATACAGTGTTAAATAATAAGGATGAGAGCAGACATTCTTGCCTCATTCCCGATCTCAGGGAGGAAGCGGTGCGTATCTAATGAGCTGCCCTGGTAGACAACACTGCACACATGTTATCACGATTCATTGCTAGAGGAATGAATTGTGTGACTCCACTGGGAAAGGACTCTTTGAAGCTTGCACTGCTCTCCTCTGGACTTCACCCCATGCACTTTTTTCCCTTTGCTGATTTTTCTTAGTATTCTTAAGTTGCAATAAATTTTAGCCATGAGTATAGCCACATGCTGAGTTCTGTGAATCCTCTTTACAAATAACTGAACCTGGGGTGGTCTTGGGGAATCCCAACACAAGTGCACACACATTTTAGATTATTACGTATTCTTGGTGAATTTTTATCAGTTTGTAATATCTCTCTTTATGCCTGGTAATTTTTGTTCTGTAGTTTGTCAGATATCAGTGGAGTCACTTGAGCTTTCTTTTTATTAGTGTTTATCTGGTATATCTTTTTCCATCCTTTTATTTTAACCTACCTATATCATTATATTTGAAGTTAGTTTATTTTATATAGCATATAGTTGGGTCATCTTGCCTTTTTTTAAAGAAAAAAATCCATCTTTACAATCTTTCACTTTTACTTGCATTTAATGTAATTACTAGTATGGATTTATGTGTATCATTTGTTTTCTGTTTCTTTCCTCTGTTTTTTGTCTCTCTGCTTTCTTGCTTTCCTTTGGGTTATTTGAACATCTTTTAGTATTCTTTTTAAATTTATCTATTGTGCTTTTGACTGTATCTCTTTGTATGCTTTTTAAAGTGATTCGTCTGGGAACTAAAATATGCATACTTAAATCTTCATTGACTACTCAGAGTCAGTATTTTTACCATTTCCCATGGAAGTAGAAACCTTACCACCATATAGGTCCCTTTAGTCTCCCCTCTCTTTATGTTATAGTTATCTTATATATCACATCCACATACAGTGAAACCCCATGAGACAGTTTTAATTTTTGCTTTCAATCCTCAAATATACTTTAATTAATTCAAATTAAAGGAGAAGAATAGTCTATTATATCTGAGCAAATATTTACCCTTTTCTGCTGCTTTTCCTTCATTCCTGATGTCCAAGTTTCCTTTTGGTGTCATTTTTCTTCTGTCTGAAGAATTTCAATTGCATTCTTTTAGATCTGCTAACAATACATTCTCTTTGTTTTCCTTCATCTGTGAATGTCTTTTTTACACGTTCATTCCTGAAGGATACTTTGCTGAATGTAGAATTCTGGGTTGACAGTTATTTTCTTTCAGCACTTTAAAAATGTTGAGACACTTCCTACTGGCCTCCGTGATTTCTGATGAGAATTCTGCAGTCATTTGATTCATTGTTCCTCTATAAGTAATGCATCCTTCTTCTCTGGCTGCTTTCAAGATTATTTTTCTTCTTCTTCTTCTTTTTTGGTGAGGAAGATTGGCCCTGAGCTAACATCTATGCTGATCCTCTTCTATTTTTTTTTCTATGTGGGATGCTGCCATAGCATGGCTTGATGAGCAGTGTGTAGGTCTGTGCCCAGGATCTGAACCTGTGAACTTCAGGCTGCCCAAGCGGAGTGGGTGAACTTAACCACTATGCCACTGTGCCAGCCCAAGATTTTTTCTATGTCTTCAGTTTTCAGCAGTTTCATTATGATATGTCTAGGCACGGATTTTTTGGGGGAGTCTATCCTATTTGGTGTTTGCTGAGCTTCTTGAATCTGTAGGTTTATGTCTTTTGCCAAATTTGTGAAGTTTCCAGTGATTATTGCTTCAAAAAATATATTTTTAATCACTATACTTTTTCACTTTTTCTTCTGTTTCTGATGGTAAAAATTATGAGTGTTTTAGTATTTTCCCCTAAGTCCTTGAGATTCTGTTCATTTTTATTTCAATCTCTTTTTCTCTGAGTTGCTTGGATTGAATAATTTCTATTGCTCTATCTTCAAGTTCACTATTTTCTCGTCTCCATTCTACTACTGAACTCATCTGGTGAAGTTTTTATTTTATCATATTTTTTTACTTCTAAAATTTCCATTTGTTTCTTATTTAAATATTCTCTATTTTTTTTGGTGCCAAGACTCTATTTTTATGTTTATTTCAAAAGTGTTCATGGGGCTGGCCAGTGGCTGAGTGGTTGGGTTCCCACCCTCCGCTTCCGCAGCCCAGGATTTGGATCCTGGGCAACGACATGGCACCACTCATTAGGCCATGTTGAAGCGGCGTCCCACATGCCACAACTAGAAGGGCCCACAACTAAAATATACAACTATGTACTGGGGGCATTTGGGCAGAAAAAAGCAGGAAAAAAAAAAAAGAAGATTGGCAACAGTTAGCTCAGGTGCCAATCTTTAAAAAAAATTAAAAAAAATGCTTGCTGAAGCATTTTTACAATAGTTGCTCTAAAGACTTAGATAATCCCAACACCTGTCTTCTCTGCGTTGGTGTGCATTGGTTGTCTTTCCCATGTGAGTTGAGATGTTCCTGGTTCTTCATATTCTGAGTAATTTTGAATTGTATGCTGGACATCTTGAATATTAGGTATGGACTCTTGGTCTTGTGTAAATCCTATGGAGTGTGTTGCCATTTCTGTTTTAGGAGGCATTCTCTTCACATGCAGCCACCATAGCTCTTGTCGTCGTGGCGGGGTCAGGACAAGGGAGGAAGGTGGGCCGTGGACGGGAAGGGGTCAGATGGAGTGGGGTGAGTCTTTTGGGGGCATTACTGGAGGTATCTGGGTCCTGGGGGCACCAGGAACTGCCAACACAGGACAGACTCGAGAGTCCTCAGGGGGGCCCGGGTGAGGGTCGGAGAACCCAGCCCGCCGGGCACAGGCGGACGCAATGCGCATGCCCGGTGCCGCGCTTTCCCAGCAGCCCTCAGCGTCCGGGGCGCGTAACGGTCGGGGCGCCGGGCTGTGCGGGTTAGTCTTGCGGTCGTGCTTCTTTCCTGTTGGCTGAGGCTCAGTCCGTAGGTCCACGGAGCAGTCCTTCCAGGAGTCTAACCATGAGTGAGTGTGAGGAGGGAGCCAGCGGGCTTCGGCAGGTCGGGGCGGCGTGGTTCCTGGCCCGGAGGAGGAAGGTCCTCGAGGTCGTCGTCCTTGTCCTCACAGGCATCGATCGCAGCCGCCATGACCTTTGTTGTGGCGGTGCCGGGACGGGACGAGGGAGGACGGTGGGCCGCGGAGGGGGGGTGGGTCCGAGGAAGACGGGGTGAGTCCTGGGGGCAGCTGGGACTGCCGACAGAGCACGGACTCCGGAGTCCTCAGTGGGGCCCTGGAGACTGGGCGGGGAATCCAGCCCGCCAAGCACACGCGGGACGCAGTGCGCATGACCAGTGCTGTGCCTTCGTATCGGCTGTCAGCGTTGGGGCTGCATAACCTTCTGGGCGCTGAGCTGTGCAGGTCGTGTCTTAAGTCGTGTGGGTTCTGTTTTGTTGGCTGAGACTGTCGGTAGGTCTGGAGATGAGTCCTCTTGGGAGTTTAAGTGTGAGTGAGTGTGAGGAGGGAGCCAGTGGGCTTTGGAAGATCTGGGTGGCGCGATGTGTGGTCCCCGAGGAGGAAGGCCTTCAAGGCCCTAGTCCTCCCGGGCATCGCAGCCGCCATGACCCTTGTCGTCGTAGTGGGCCAGGACAAGGCAGGACGGTGGGGCTGAGGATGGGACAGGGTCAGGTGGAGAGGGGGTGAGTCGTGGGGGCGTTACTGGAGGTATCTGGGTCCTGGGGGCACCAGGAACTGTTCATAGAGGACAGACTCGAGAGTCCTCAGGGGGGCCCGGGTGAGGGTCGGAGAACCCAGCCCGCCGGGCACAGGCGGACGCAACGCGCATGCCTGGTGCCGCGCTTTCCCAGCAGCCCTCAGCGTCCGGGGTGCGTAACGTTCCAGGCGCCGGGCTGTGCGGGTTCGTCTTGCGGTCGTGCTTCTTTCCTGTTGGCTGAGGCTCAGTCGGTAGGTCCGCGGAGCAGTCCTTCCAGGAGTCTAACCGTGAGTGAGTGTGAGGAGGGAGCCAGCGGGCTTCGGCAGGTCGGGGCGGCGTGGTTCCTGGCCCGGAGGAGGAAGGTCCTCGAGGTCGTCGTCCTTGTCCTCACAGGCATCGCAGCCGCCATGACCCTTGTCGTAGTGGTGCTGGGACGAGGGAGGACGGTGGGCCGCGGAAGGGGGGTCTCCGAGGAAGACGAGGTGAATCCAGGGGGCAGCCGGGACTGCCGACAGAGCACGGACTCCGGAGTCCTCGTGGGGCCTGGGCAGTGGGCGGGTTGGTAAATCTCCCGGTGCCAGCTGGTCTACTCTGCCCTTGGAGCGCGAAAACCGCCGCAGCCCGTATGGGAAGGCTTGAGACTTTCCCTGTGTTCCAACCGAACTTGGTGGAAGGGGGAAGAGTGGGCCTAGGAAATGGGAGTGTGACCAAAGCAGTGGTCACTCAGGTTGTCACTTTCCAGCGATGTTTTCCTAAATGTCTTCGCGGTGGGGAATCCAGTTGGGAAACCAAACCTCTTCAGAAATGTACTCCTGTCTTTTATCACGTGCCTTGAGGTGATTTCTTTGTTAGCTTGGTCATGACATGAACAGTTGGCTTTGCAAGCTGCCAGATTTAGTGTGATTGGAAAGCATGCCCATTTAAATTACCTTAAGACTTATTTTGTTGTTGTTATGTTTGTTTTTAAAAAAATTAATGAGGTCCCATTGGTTTACCTTGAGAGTTACTTTGAAAATATTTTCAATATTAAGAAAAAGTACACATCACCATTTGCCCACAGAAGTGGTCAAATATAGGTCTCCTCTTAAGTGCATTTTCCAAATCACAATATTCTGTTTTCAGTGTGGAATATGAGTGGGCGAATAACATTAACATTCCAACCTAGAGGAAGAAGAGATGATCAAGAATCTTCCCCGCTAGTTGGGCCTGTGGTTGTAAGTACTTTTACGTTTGATGCTTTTTATTAGTAGAAATTTATTTTTGTGCCAATGTTGTTGAACTCGTATAGATACACTGATAAAGGGTCTTCCATACCGATAAGGAACATTGATCCAGGAGAGTTACATTCTGGTATTGTCTGGATGGATGTTGTCATGTTCCTGGGCAGTACACCTGACGACGTCCTTCTCATGCTTGTTAACCATCGATTGCACACATCCATCCAAATGTAAATTAAAATAGCTTCCAAAGTCCTTGTGGGTAACTCTTTTCTTGGAGCAGCCTTTCTGTGGGAAGAGTAACTTCATTAGGAGTAAGTAATTGAATAGTTTTGGGGAAATCTCTTTAGATTTGCTTATGATCAAATATATCTGTGTATTCTGTATATTTATATTATTGACATGTATTGGTAACAAAATTTTTTTTAAACAAAACTTGTTATTTGCACACCCCCCCCCCCCAGACCCAGCAGCCCGGTGATGTGCGACCTCAAGAAGAGGAACCACTAACTGAGAGTCAGGATGTTGCACCTGATCATGAGAAGGAAGATGAAGGCGCACTTGTGGTTCAAGGTGAAGGGAAAGGCAAGAAGAGCGCCTCTTGCATGTTTATGTGGGCGTGTTCATGCATTATGTTATACCAGTAACAAGAGGAAAGAAAACAATAGAAAGGGATCTCAAACATGGCCTGCAAATTGGCTGGAAAAGTAAACGGAGTGTACTTTGCAGCTTAGGGCAATACTGCATTGTAAGGAATTTCTCCCATTTTATAAATGAGCAAATTGAGGCTCAAGGATTGTATTTCTCAAAGAGCACTTGACTGTTGATTACAAAATCTGTATTTCATTCCAAAGTTTGTGTCTGCCTACCACCTATGTTGCTGTAAAAAAATGTGAATGATTTTACTTAAAATGCTTAAGACTCAATTGTCTGTACTGTAAGGGAGCTTGGTACTGGCCCAGAGGTAAATACAGTACAGCGGAGCAGGATGGAGACTCCAGAAAAGAGCTCAGTGAATGATAGGCACTGTTTCCTTTGATTGATATTGTGATGTGTAAGTTTGGTAAAAGCTGACTAATTCAGGATACTGGCATATAGGTAGCTGGCTTAGTATTATTTTTTAAGTGGCTTTTAAAAGGTGGGTAAATCATTCTATGGTTAGAAAAATCAAAAAGTGAATTTCCTAATATTAACATGAGACATAAATTATTTCTCCCAGATATATAGAGTATTTTGAAGCAAAATATTTACATAACTCAGGCCACTGTTAAAGGTTTCTGGAATATGACTGACAACAATGCCCATTCATGTGTTTCCACCCCACTTCCTTTATTCTCACTGTAAGACAATATATTTGCGATTGTTCACAAACAATTTTGCTGTTATTTTTGGTGCTTTGTTCTACATGGGATTCATTTATGGAACTTTACACTTAGGGCCTCTGGCTCTAAATAGAACTTTCTGGTTACCCCAGTAGGGGACAGGTGTCACACTATAAGATTTATCATAGGCCTGCAAATCCACTCAGCTAATCTTTCAGAAAATTGCATTTTAATTGTAATTGAAATCCTATCCATGCTGTAGACTTCATAGATAGCTGATGCTCACTGCTGTTTGTACCCTATGGCAAAATACAGGAATTATACATGTATTATGGTTTATCCTTATATTGTCATTTAAAATAAAGGTTTCATAATACAGGAAAACAAATATGGCGTCCATTCCTAGTTCCTGCTTATGCTGCAAAAATAACTCCTTATTGAACTGTACACTTAAAAATGGTTAAGATGGCGAATTTTATGTTCTGTGTTGTTAAACCACAATTAAAAATAACTCCTGTCTTCCTGAAGTACAATGTAGTTGTCATATATTCTTTTTAATTTTTACTTTATATTTCCAAAACAAAAAATTTACAGAAGTTACAAGAATAGTACAATTAATGCATATACTTTTCACCTAGATTCACTTATTAATAGTTTGTACCATATTGGTTTCATATCCTCTTCCCTCCCTCCCCATATACACACTTAGCGATATGTTTACTGTTATTAACGCTGAATCATTTAGATGAAGTTTCAGTATTTCCTAAGAACAAAGAAAAAGTCATTCTCTTGGCTAACCACTGTACAATTATCAAAATCATGAAATTTGACAATGAGAAAATGCATTCATTTAATATGTAGTGTGTATTCAAATTTCCTCAATTGTCCCGATAATTTCCTTCATAGAATTTTTTTTGATCCAGAGTCCAGTCTAGGATCATGCATTGCATTTAGTTGTCATGTCTATTTAGTCTCCTTTAATCTGGACTAGTTCTTTTATTTTTCTTTGTCATTCATGGTACATTTCTGAAGAGGATGGACCAGTTGGTCTGGGAAATGTTTATCAATTTGGGCTTTTTCCTGTATTTTTTTGAGTTTTTTTTCACTCGGCATTTATAGGTGTCTACTCATGCCATGTAACATGCTAAGTACTCGTGAGAGACATGATTTCAACCTTCGGTTTACAGTCTAGTTAGACTCAAACAAATAACTAATAAGTAAAATCACAAGTACAATACACGTAAGTACACAGGGAGCGCCTGTGTTGTCTGAGGGCAGTCTTGGGAAAGGAAGAGGGTACTAGAATCCTGCTTTCCTAGTTTCTGGTAATAGACTCCAGAAATAATGCTCTTGCGATTCTTATGCATCACATTTATTACTACACAGCCTAAAACTTTTATTTAATAACACTGAGGGAATGGATATTATCACTTCCTTATTCATATCTCATGTTTTACTTCTTAAATTAATAAGCTTTTTATTTGCAAGGGCTTGCCCTGGAAACTAGTCAATAGGAACTGGCTCAGCCAAAGACTGGGCGTGAGCGTGGTGACGGTCCTGATGTCAAGGGAAAGAAACTCCCAAATCCAGAGCCCATGAAAATGCCGGAAGCAGGTGTGTTATCCATTAAGTGTGCAAATTGTAGAGTGTCTATTTTTCCACAATACTTTATTTTTAATAATATGGAAGTATGATTACTCCTACTATAACAGCAGAGTTCACATTTAAAGATGATTTCAAATGTACTTCAGACCTTAAATGCCTGACTTATAGACTAACAGGTATAGAAACAAATTGGGTCAAAGATATATTGAATTATAAAATAGGAAAGCATGTTCTTAATTTTAAGTATAGGTCCTTTAATCAACAGCTAATCATTTTCAGATACTCTTATAGAGATCTTCTTTTAACAAATACATAATGCGTTTGTGACACACATCAGTTTGTGTGAAATAGCTGAGGCCCTGAAGTAGGTTCTGGGACCAGCTCTAATATAATTTGTGTGACTCTGGACAAATCTCTTAACGTCTAAACCCGTCTTTGCTCTTATAAAAATGGTGAATTCAAATCAGATATTTAAAAATTATTTTAATGATTTTTGCGTACTCTGGTTCTGTTGAATAGAGTACAAAGATAATTTGCTTTGTGTGATTTGTTTCTCATAAATCATCAGAGCCTGGCCTGAGTCAAATTACAATATCTGAATTGAGGTTTCATGACTACTAAGAAAATGAACAAACACTCTGCTTGATGTTTGTTTTTCTGTCCAGAGTCCCGAGTGCCTGTTGTCAGACTCTGTCAGATTCTGAATTCTCTTGCCCTTAAAGAACAATTGCATTTTAAATCCTTTCCCCAATGAAGCCTCAAATGACTGAATAATAAAATGGCAAGACGTAGTCTAGTTTCTGGTTTCTGTGGCTGATCAAGTAGAGAGAGTGCGTAGTCACTGATGCTCAAGGCGGCTGTGAGTAGGATGCCCATGCCAAGCACACGCCCTGTCCCCGCTGTTGGTCTTAAGGAGCCACTGTTCCTAATCAAAATGTGGACACGGTGATACCATCACCTCTCATCATATCAAAAGTGGCATCTTAGAAGTTTCTGCCTTGAGACATCTAGTGATAAGATTTGAAGTTCGAAGACCATAACCTTAATAATTCCCGAGTAATCAACTTAAGTATGTTTTACATATGTGTTTTCCCAGTTGCTGACTATTAATTACAAAGAGCTTTTTTTTTTTTTTAAAGATTGGCACCTCAGCTAACATCTGTTGCCAATCTTTTTCTTTTTTTTTCTTCTCCCCAAAGCCTTAGTACACAGTTGTATATTCTGGTTCTGCTGTGTGGGATGCCACCTCAGCATGGCTTGATGAGCGGGGCTAGGTCCGTGCCCAGGATCCGAACCTGCGAACCCCAGGCTGCTGAAGTGGAGCACGTGAACTTAACCAGTCGGCCATGGGCCTGGCCCCAATTGGAAGAGCTTCTGAATTTCAAGGAAGCACTTGATGTTTAGGGAAGAAATTACCTTGCATTAGTCTTCTAAAGTTTTTTACTGTACATGGCTGGACCATTCTATTAGACTATTGACATTAAGAGAGAGTTTTCAGATTACTTCCAGGAACCTATTGGACATGGCTAGAATGTACTCATAGGAAGATCATAGCCTTAAATACGTATGTTATTAAAAAAAGATAAATTACGTGAGCATCTAATATAAAAAAATAATAAAAAGCAACAAAAAAGAAAAAGATTCTTTTTTTTTTAAAATATTTTTTACCTTTTTCTCCCCAAAGCCCCCTGGTACATAGTTGTATATTCTTCATTGTGGGTCCTTCTAGTTGTGGCATGTGGGACGCTGCCTCAGCGTGGTCTGATGAGCAGTGCCATGTCCGCACCCAGGATTTGAACCAACGAAACACTGGGCCACCTGCAGTGGAGTGCACGAACTTAACCACTCGGCCACGGGGCCAGCCCTGAGATTCTTAATAAAAGATATATATGAATCATTGGGAGAAGGAAAAATAATCCAACTAATAAATAGATCAAAGAGATAGCTCTTTGAGAAAATATTTATGAATAGAGGATCTACTAGTTTACATAATCTTGAAGAAAATAAAGGTCAAGTATATATAATAAGGAATATGAACAAGACACTAATAGATATTGAGTATGTTATATAATTATATATATTTATCTGTGTATTTGGCTTTCCAAGTTTTTTTCTTTCTTTCTTTTTCTCCCCCCACTGTCCTTCCTTTTTCTTTTTTGGCCAGACTGTGAGAAATGGTACTATTTCTCCTTGACAATTTGATGTTACCTTTGATGGTAATGGCTTAAAACTAGTGTGACCGTATAATTTATTGTACAAACTGGAACGGTTTTCAGTGTGTAGTGAGTCACTATTCATAAGTACAGCAGGAGTCTAGTTGAAAACAGGGACAAATGCTTGCCCTGCTTATAAGGGCTAAACTAGCTCAAAGAAACAGTTTTGCACTTTTCCACACTAGGAGCCAAAACAAACGTAATGCCAGCCTTTCTGTTTATTTCACTCAAGCAATTCCAAATGTGATATTACTGTTGTAGATATCCTACATGTATTCAGAATATTTTTTCAAATCAAGATATTTAAATGATTCTTTTGAAAGGTTTCTTTCGTTTCTTAGTTTTTTCATTTGTTGTTTGGGTGGATTTTTACTAAAAGTATAAAGAATTTTTGCTTTCTCCTTAAAACTACCTCTGAATAGATGCATTCATTGGGTTTAACCTGTTCTGAACTTGAGCAGTCTCTGTTTCTTTGCACCACTAGAGAGCGGTGTGTTTAACAGATTTTGTTAGTGTGCCTCAGAGTCTCGCTTCAAAGGCTCTGCAGACGTTTGACTGGATATAAGCCGAAGGGTCACCCTTAGGGTTCTGCTTTTAGTCCATTCTATAAAACTAAGACTGTCGCGTCCTTTGTACGCCTTTAGTGTCATCTAAATAAAGTTCTAAGTAATGTTCCCCACTGTTATGTTTGTCTTACAGGTGAGGGGCAACCACAGGTTTAAAGGACGACAAGCTGAAACCACACAGGCTGTTCTTGCGTTGGAAATTTGACTGTTAAAATTCTCTCAATAAAGTTTGCAATTTTGTCCAAAGAAGTCTTGCACATCTTTTGTTAAGTTTATTCCTAGGTATTTGATGCTATTGGAAATTGTATCTTCTTCTGAAATTTTATATTTTGTTTGAGCTAGTATAGAGAGATGTAATTTTTGCATGTTGCTTTTTCTATCCAGCAACCTTGCTAAATTTATGCTTAATTCCAAAAGTTTATCTTTAGATCCTTTTCATCTTTCAACATATATAGTCATACCATCTTTGAATAATAATAACAATTTTGTTCCTGCCATTTTAAACATTATATCTTTTATTTCCTTTTCTCATTTTACGGCATTGGGCAGACGCACCCAGTACAATGTTGAATAGAACTGGTGATAGTGGACATCCTTGTCTTAGCCCTGATCAGAAATGGGAAATCGTCCACATTTCACTGTGATGTTTACTGTCCCTTTTTGTAGATACACTTAATCAGAGTAAAGTCATTCTATTCCTAGTTTTCTGAGAGTATTCATCTTGAATGTATGTGGAATTACATCAGACACTTATGGTACATTTATTGAGATGATCATAAGATTTTTTCCTCTATTAATCTGTTAATGTGGTGAATTACATTGATAAGTTTCTGTGTTTAAGCCAACTTTAAATTCCTAAAGCTAACACAATTTGGTCATGAGTAATCTATGTCCTAATAATTTGTTTAGGATTTTTATGTATGTCCTGATGGGTGACCTTAGTCTGTACTTTTATTTCATGTACTCTCTTTCTTGGATTTTTTTATCAAGATTACACTAGCTTC